ATAATGCAGCAGCCGATGCAGCAGCAGGTGCAGATGGGGCAGGGAGTGGCTGGGGGCGGCGGTGTGGGTGTGGGCGTCGGTGGAGGGGACATGTTGGCGCAGCAGGAGCCAGAGTACCTTGCCGCAATGAGTTTGCAGTTCGGGTGAGTCGAGCGAGAGAAGAGGCACACGTGGACGGGGGGATGGAAGGTCACCGGTGGGGCATGGGAGTCACGTCTCTCTCTGTTTCCCTGTCTGCGTGCGTCTGCGTGTTTGCGTGCAGCCATAGTTCGTGCTTCGGCGACCAGCCGTCGGCCTCTTCCGTGATGGACATGGGTATTGGGCGTGCAGCTGAGCTCCACGGGCAGCTGGATGGCCAGCGGTATGATGGAGACGGACACAAAATGCGAGCAAGAAAATGAATCAGTGTCTTTTTGTCTGGTGTCTCCTGTAATGTCCTCGCAGTTCTGTCGGGCACACGAACCCCTCCGCCCAGCAGCCTGGTGAGGGTGCATCCAGCAACGCCGCCGCCCACGAAGTCCACGAGAACCTCCAGAGCCGCCACCAGCAAGAGGCATCGTCTTCTGCTAGAGGTGCACTGGCAGCAGCGGCAGCCGAGGTGACCCCCTCAGCCGTCCAGCCTGCCGAGAAGCGTTCCCGCGCCCCCTCGCCCGACGAGAACTCGCCCGACGACAGCTCCCGGAGCCAGATTGTTTTCCCCATGCACCATCAGCAGGCCCCACGCCAGCAACAGCAGCAGCAGCAGCCGTACGGCCATCCCCAGCCCTCAACAGAGATGCAGCCGCTATACTCGGACCAGCAGTAAGGCACCAACGACACACACTCACACACGGGGATGGAAAGATGGCCACCCATGCCACGCCACGCCACGCCACGCTGCATCTCTGGTCTCTCTCTCTGTGTGTGCAGGTACTCTCAGAACGTGCCAGCTCAGTACCAGCAGCCCGGCCCCTCTCCCCCATTCATGCCCACCGCGCCCCCTCTCTGGATGGGTCAGTCTGCTGTTGGTCTCCAAGGCATGATCCCATCCGGCCCCCTACCGCTCGGCCCGTTTCCATTCGCATCCCCGGGCACGCCCTTCCAGAGTGGACAGTTCCGGCACAGTGGGTCGTCCTTGGACATAATGCAGCAGCCGATGCAGCAGCAGGTGCAGATGGGGCAGGGAGTGGCTGGGGGCGGCGGTGTGGGTGTGGGCGTCGGTGGAGGGGACATGTTGGCGCAGCAGGAGCCAGAGTACCTTGCCGCAATGAGTTTGCAGTTCGGGTGAGTCGAGCGAGAGAAGAGGCACACGTGGACGGGGGGATGGAAGGTTACCGGTGAGGCATGGGCGTCACGTCTCTCTCTGTTTCCCTGTCTGCGTGCGTCTGCGTGTTTGCGTGCAGCAATAGCCATGGTCATCATGTGTTGCCGCATATCATCCCCCCGCCTCCCGCCATCATCCGTCCCCCCAACAGCCCCCACCGCCAGCCGCACGGCGGACGGCGCAGACACCACCACCACCACGCGCATTGGCGTGACGACGACTACGGCCGCCAGGGGGGTAACGAGCGTGGCTATGGGTGGTAAAGAAACACCCGAGTGAGTCGATGGGGTGGGCGGGGACAGTGTGAATGCCGCACATTCATGCATCCATATGAATGTGTTTGTGTGTGTGTGTGCCCGATCAGGGGTCACACGACCATGGCGGCACCCGCCAGGTGTGGCGGCCGAGGCAGTAGTTTGATGCGTGTGTGGTGTGTGTCGGTGCGCGTGACCTCCATGTGTGTGTGTGTGTGTGTGTGTGCGGGTAGGGGGGCTATGAAGGATGGGACGTATCTAGGCCAGAATCTTACGCTTTGCCGAGCTTAAGTTTCCTTTTACGGGTCAGTGACCATTACGAGTCAGGGAGGGGAGAGAGGCAGCGAAAGGGCGATTGATGCCGAATAAAACCGCTACACAGCAGACACAATTGCCACTATTATGAACAGAAAGCTCTCCACACACATATATACGGACCACTCACTGGCCAAGAGGGCAGACAGAGGGAGATACAAGCAGTCACAGACTGTTTGCCTGACTGACAAATCGCAATTCAAAAGAGAAGAGAGGCCTCAGCCTCTCTGCCTGCCGCTGGCGAGGTTGGATAACGATGTGAGGCTTGAGATACGTCAGACAGATGGCCGCGATTGCTGTGCAGCTGGGGAAAGAGGCGCCTTGATCTTGTCCACGACGACCTTAGAATGGGAGCGCCTCGCACGGATCTGCAGCGCGAGAACAGAAGAGAGACGAGATCGCCAATGCGTTCTTGCGTGTTGTGTGTGGATGTGCGAACGCACACCTGTCGGCGTCCTTCGATCATACAGCACCGTCATGCATCGGCCGATCGACACACATCTCGTAGGCAGCAGACACATCCACCAGTTGGGTCGGCAGAAGGTGGCAGAAGGGGCAGCCAGATCCGCCTGGCCGCTGTCTGGATGTCCTGGTCCTTATCGATGACATCTGCAAAGAGACAGACCAATCCGCGCACACTCACACGCTCTCTCTGCCTCTGTGTGGGTATGCGCATCTGCCGCAAGGAGGCGTACCAGGAGCATCTTCAGGCTGCTGCGCGTCGGTCGCATTGTGTTTCTGCTCACGGGCTTGTTCCAACTCAACTGCCTTCTTAGGGATCTGCCTTCATCGACGCAACAAGGAATGAATGGAATCACAAGCATCTCCTCGGTAGCGTCCATACCAGCCTTGTATTTGCGCCCGAGAGGCTGCCGCTTGCTGCCCTCTGACACACACAACACGCCACACCCGCGCAGAATGGTCCGCCCTGAGTCATTCGCAGCATGGCATTTCGGGATCTGTCATCGACTCACCTTTGGGCTTCATCTTGACGGCTCTCCTTCACTTCTGCCGCCTTCTCTGGTCCTCACCCTCTGGCAGATCTGCACGTGGCTCACAGCTCGCAACAGGGAAGAGGAGAAAATGGGAGGAGGTGAGAGTGGCTGCCCGAACCTACCACAAGAGATCGAAGAACGGAGCCTTCAAATAAACTGACCGCGTCACTCTGTCGCGTGTGAGTCTGCTGGACAGACAAGGCGCCCAAAAGGACGGCTGTTGCATCTTTTCAGCAGGCGCCATCTGCCGCCCAGCAGCCCAGCACAAAGAAAACGGCCTCTCTTGGCTGATCCAGCGGCGGCTTGTTGACTTCGAGGCGATGGTGTGGGGCGGCTGGTCTGCGTGGGAGCCGCCGGACGAGAGAGAGACGGTGCCGAGGAGCGACGGCCCAGTGCAGCTGCCCACACAGCGACTCACACCAGCTGTCGGTACCCAATGCATCCACAGACTCACACACGCCCCGCCCAGTGTGTCATCTTCTGTGTGGTTGGTGTGTCCAGATGGGCGTCACGTGTCGGTGCTCATGACGGAGAGCGTGGGTGCGGGTGCTCACAACATGACTATCACATGGCTGGTCGGGCCGCAGGCCCTCAAAACCTCAAGGTCAACAGGCAGTGCCAGACGCACACCGACGAAGACCCATATGTGTGTGTACGTGTGTGGGGGGAACAGTGTTCGACCTTTAGGCGGCCGCAGAAGACCCATCAATGCCGACAGATTCCTCGAGAGGGTGAGTATGAGCAATCTTGTCACTCATGACTGACCCCTTAAGCATGGCCTCATCATTGTTGCCTTTGGCCTGTGTGTATCAGTTCATCGATTCGCTGACTGGTGACGTAGTAAAGGAGCCTCGACGGCTGCCGACCGGCGCCATCGTCGACCAGTAAGACACACAGACACAGGCACACTCGTGTGCTACAGTCATGCCGGCTGTTTGTATGTGTTTGCATTGTGTCAGCACCACACTGGACAAGCTGACACGGCCTGACGGGAAGGCCGACGCTCCCGACGCCGAGAACGACGTGAGGTCAGCACAGCACACACACGTTTGCAACCCTGCAAGTCCAGTCCTCGTGTCCATTTGTGTCCATTCCTGTCTGTCTGTCCGTCAGTCTGTCAGTGCCGGGATCTCAAGCAGAAGATCCACGCCTTCCTGGCCGATTTCGAGAGCTACATGGCCGCCCACCCTACCACACAAGACGACACCAACCGCTTCCACAAGGACGGCTCCTTCACCGTCAAGGTCCAGCTGATGGTTGGCTCGGGATCCACCATGGAGATGCAGCTGACGGCCGACACCTCACTGGGCGACTTCGCAGAGGCTGTGGCCAACAAGTGGGTGAGAGTGACGGCGGCGTGGCGCCCTCGAGGGGAGTGCCGTGAGCTGCCACACAAGACACAGCCTGGTGTGGCGGTGGGGGAGAAGGGCGTCAAGGCCGGAATGACGGAGCAGAAGACACGCAGACCAGCGAATGTCGGCTGAGCATGTTCGTCGATGTCTGGATGGCTGGATGGAGGGAGGGAGGGATGAATGTGCCTTCGTGCATGAACGTGTGTGTGCATTTGTGAGTGATGAGAAGGTCAGCGGACTTTTTTAGTGAGATATCGCACTTGATTGTCAATCAGTCAATGAAAGGATTGAACCATGTCCATCGTTCCGGTCCGGCACACGCACATGCACGGCAGACATCCGCTCCATCCATTCAGACCACTCACAGCGGATATAAAATGTAGCCAGCGATACAGACTCTCCTGCCTGCTGTCTGTTGTCTCCTGCTATCTGTGAGACACAGACAACGGAATATAAAATGCAGACAGCGATCATCGCCGTGCACGGCAAGGCCCACAGCCACCTGGAAGGTCCCATGTTCACCACCCCTAGCTACCACACACACACACCGACCCCTTGTCCACGCAGACACACAAAACACAAACCAATGCAGACTCATACACTACACACTCCATCCATCCATCCATCCGGTCAGTCAGTCAGTATGCACCCTCCCATGCATCACCTTCACCCTCACCATCATACCACCATCCCCCCCCGCCCTCACCCACACCTTGCTGCTGCAGCTCCCCCTCCTCGCGAACCGTGTCGCCCTGCTGCCCCTCCTCGGTGTCGTCGAGGTTGCTGCTGGTGGAGGGCCGGGAGTGCTTGTCCTGCTCGTGGTGGTCGTCTCCCTGCTGCTCGTTCTCGCTCATGGTCTTGGTCGTCGGCATCGGCGTCGGGAGTGTCGGGCGTTTGGCCGCTTGGGCCTGTGCTTCTTCCCGCCCCGCTTGCCGGGCTTCTTCGCAGCTGCAGCTGCTGCAACCGCCGCCTCCTGAGCGAGGAGCTCCTCTTCGTTCCTCTTGGCCTCTTCCTCGTCGCGCTCGCGTTTCTGCTTCTCCTTCTCGACCTCCTCAGGGGACTTCTGCTTGTCCTTCTGTGGTCCGGCCTCGCGCTTCTGCTTGTTGCGCTGCTCGTATATGCGCTGAAGGCGGGCCACGGTCCGGCCACGGGGGATGTCCCTTCCGCTTGCTGCTGTTGAGCGTTGGGCTGGTTCTGCGCCTCGAGGTTGTTGACCCCACCGTTACCAGCGGTCCCGTCTCCATCATACCGCTGGCCGTCCATTTGCCCGTGCGGGCTGGTCATCGCCGAGGGGAGACTCGACGAGGCGGGCGGCTGGTCGTCGCCGGGACATGCACCGTCACCTCTGCACGGCACGGCACGACACACAGAGAGAGATGAAGTGTCATGCGCGTGTGTCTGTTGTGTGTGGTGCATTTCGTGTGTCCTTTCTTTTGAGTCGTGTGCATGGCTTACATGTCCTCCTGAGTCTGGTCCTGAGCCTCGTCAAACATGTCACCTTGAAACTCACGGACCTCCTCATTCTCACCCTCACCACCCTCACCATCCCCATCCTCTAGAGGAAGACGATGCCTGTTCCTGGTGGCGGTTCTGGTGGCACAATGGTGGCACAACAGACAACAGACAACAAGATATACTTTGCTCAATTGCCTTTGCTGATGAGCGAATGCTCGTCTTTGTCTTGTGGATGTGGTGCTTCTTCTTGGCTCGTTGTCTGTCTGTCTCGCCACACCGATTGACGCCGAGTCCGCCTGCAATGCCATGCAGAAACAGACCATTACAGGAGTCGACACACATGAGTGACAAGTGGGTTTACGTTGTGCTACGGTGAGTGAGTATGGGTTGGTAGGTGTCTGTCTGCGGGCACTCGCCACGCCGAGCCGTCGTCCTAAGTGAAACACAGACAACGGGATATACAAAGCAGACAGCGATTGGCTGGAGGGGGCCTCCTCGTATTGTTCGTTCCCTTCTCCGATGCACGGGTGTGCTGGCCGCGCATGGATGATGCAGTCCTGCAGGCAACCCACCGTAACACATTGGCTGGGCTGGTTCTGTTGGTGCAAGTGAACGCGTGTACGTGGAGATGTGTGTGTGTTTCATTATGTTTCTTCCTTACGGTCGAAATCCATCTCGTAGTCGTAGAGGCAAGCGTTGATGTGCCGGCAGCGGAGCGCCTTGAGGTCGGTAGGCAGCCGCTTGCACAGCTGAACCTTAGACCTTTTCGGCTCGGGGGCTCACTGATCACCAGGGCCTCAGTCATCGACTCGCCTCTGCTGCGACGACCCCAACCTACATTTAACACGTGAGCAGCAAGGTGAACTGCCCTGAGTTCTTCACCGAAGACCACACTCAAGAAAGGCACATAGTACCTGAAGAGAAGCTGCCGAGAAGGAGACGGCGATTGCTATAGAGGACTTCTTGAGGAGGCGACGACGTGACGACCGCGCCCTGAAGGCGGCGGCGTCACGCCTCGCTGTGGTCAGAGGGGCGAAGGAAGGAAGCACCGTGTGACGTCCGCTCGACTTGGGAGGCGTGGAAGGTGACAGGGCGGGCCAAATGAGCTGAGAGCCAGCCGAACAGACGAAAAAATGGAGAAGATGTGGACAAGAGAAGGCGTGAAAGCCGAAATGCGACCGAAATTGAGAAAACGCAGAAGACTCGTAAATCAGTCTTTTTTTGTTTGTCTCCGTCTCACATTTTATTTTTCTCGCCGGTTTTTTCGTTGTGGTAGGACTGTTGCCACCGTCACCATCGGAAAACGCCGCCGCCAATGCGACCAATACGCCTGAGAGTGCTATTCTATTCTCAAATATTGACACCCAACCGGGCTCAGAGGATGATACCTCTCAGCTGGACTCTTGGGTCTACCTGTCAGCTTGTCACTTGGCTGTACGATGTATTTTGAGCCTAACGCAGCGGCATCTCTTGCAAAATTCTTTCTTTTCTGATTGTCAGATCTGTCCGCCAGACGGGACACATACTTCCTCCCCGTGAGCGCTTGACTCTGCGTGCTCATGGGACTGTATTTGTATGAGTATCACGGACACACAGACGAGTGTTACGGTTAGTGCAAGTTTCGTGTACTTCCTAAGAGTACAGATACGAGTCCAAGTCGGAGGAGCAGGGACAAATTAAGCGATAGATACAGAACAAAAGCCCTCACACCAGCCCCCAGACACAATGGGCCACTATGATTGGACCACCCACTGGCCAAGAGGGCAGACAGAGAGAGGTATAGCAAGCTAGTCACACTGTCTGCCTGACTGGTTGACAAATCAAGAAGGGAAGAAGAGAGAGCGGCGGCCACTCTGCCCGCCGTGGGGTGCGTCAGAGGGATGGCCGCCCATCAAAGCAGAGATGGCGTGGTGGGTGAGAGGCGCCTTGGTCTTGTCTTCGAGACCTTAGAATGACAGCGCCTTGCTGACACGGATCTGCAGCACGAGAACAGAAGAGAGACGAGGTCGCCCATGCGCTCTTGTGTGTGTGTGTTGTGTGTGGATGTGGGCACACCTGTCGGCGTCATTCGCTCATACAGCAGCGTCATGCATCGGCCGATCGACACACATCTCGTGTGCAGCAGATACACATTGCAGTCGTGAGGCGCCCTCAATCACTCTTGGTGGCGGCCCCGTAGCAGTTGGGTCGGCAAAGGGTTGCCAGATGCGCCTGGCTGCTCTCTGGATGGCCTACATTGTCTCCAATTCTCGCTCATCGATGACACCTGCAGGCAGGCAGACAGACAGACAGACAGACCAATCCACGCACACCCATACGCTCTGTCTGTGTCTGGGTATGTGCCCCTGTTGCAACCAATCAGGCGTACCACGAGCATCTGCAGGCTGCTGCGTGTCATATCGCGTCATATCGTGATCTGGCTGAAGCAGGAGGAACGAGGGACAAAGGAGGAGAAAACAACGCATCACATCAGATGAATGGAATCACAAGCATCTCAGTGCCGTGCCGTCCCATCTTCACCTACCTACTTTGTATTTGCGGCGTGGCATTTCGGGATCTGTCATCGATTCGCCTTTGGGCTTCATCTTGACGGCTCTCTTGCTTCTGCCGCCTTCTCTGGTCCTCACCCTCTGGCAGATCTGCACGTGGCTCACAGCTCGCAACAGGGAAGAGGAGAAAATGGGAGGAGGTGAGAGTGGCTGCCCGAACCTACCACAAGAGATCGAAGAACGGAGCCTTCAAATGGACTGAACTCCTCACTTTGTCGCGTGTGAGTCTGCTGCACAGACAAGGCGCCCAAAAGGACGGCTGCTGCATCTTTTCAGCAGGCGCCATCTGTAGCCATCTGCCGCCCAGCACCAACACAAACGGCCTCTCTTGGCTGATCTAGCGGCGCGTTGTTGACTTCGAGGCGATGGTGTGGGGCGGCTGGTCTGCGTGGGAGCCGCCGGACGAGAGGGAGACGGTGCCGAGGAGCTGGGTGTCGCCAAACACGCTCTTCCCGCTCAACCACATCTGTCTGCTCTCGTGGTTTCTGCTGCTGTTCTTCCCTCGATGGAGATACACCAAGGTGTGGCACGGCAGACGTATCATGGGGATGGCGGATCGGGTGATGCCTGTGTGTTTGTTTGCAATGCAGACGCTGACCATTCTGCCGCCGGTGGTACTCTCCGTGATGCACTGCATTTTAGTTCTCAAGGTGGGTCGGGTGAATGGATGGACGTACCTGCTACCTATCCGTCCATGTGTGTGTGCGTGTGTGTGTGTCAGATTCTAGCACTAGAGGGGTTTGGTTTGTTCACCAAGATCGAGTCGTTTTCCGGCGTGATGGAGCTGTTTGGCAACGAGTGGGTGGCGCTCACCATGCGCACACACCTCTCGATATTCGACGCCATGATGGGCCTCTGGGAGGTCAGTGAGAAGCAACCACCACTGACACACACACAAGCGGGAGGGCATTGATGGACTCTCTTTGTTGCATTATATTGTCGGTCAGGTGACGAATGCGCGCAAGTATGGGATTCCTCATTACCTGGTGGTGCCGTGCCTTATCCTGACCTACTTCCTCGGACCCACCGGACTGCTCGTCTTCATGCTCATACGCTCCTCCGTCGGGTACGCACCAGCACAATGAATGGCCACAGACCTGCCATCCATCCATCCATGCGTGTTGCCTTTGCGTGTGTGCAGTCGCGACATGGACGATCGTCTGCCCGACAGCCCCTCCCCCTCCCTGGGCGTCCACCACCTAGACGGCCCCCACATCCACTCCAATGCCCACCCCCACACCCACGCTGAGAACACCGACAGCGTCAGCACCAAGACCTCCCCCAACACCTCATCCAACCACATACACGTCCGGCAGCGCAGCCTCGCCACGGTCAGCGGACACACGCAGGCCAACGGCACTGGCACCGCACAGAGCAGCGCCATCGACTCGCCGTCGTACGTCCAGAACGGCCTGTCGGCGAGGGGCAGCTTCAGCAACCCCTCTGTTACCCCAGCACACCCACAGGCAGAGAATAGGGGTGCGGCGGCGGCGGCGGGGTGGGGGAGGGAGGGGGACGTCACATAACACAGGTGACATGAGCGGCATGATGGACACGGTCCGACTGGCCGTGGCGTGTGTAGCGAGTGTGTGTGTGGGTATTTTTCGAGTGGCGCGGGCCGACAAGTGTGTGTGTAGAGGGGTCGATGCTTAGTCAGGGTGGGTGGAGAGGGGAGGGAAGGCGGACTTGCGTTGCATTTCGTGTCGTGTGCCGATGGGTACATTTGGTTGCCGCGTATCATACGCGGGTGGCGGTGCAGATGCATGTGCATACGGACGTGACGAAAAATTGGCTGAATTCACATGCAGGCAGGCACGTCTCACGTCTACCCATCCACGGACTCTCACGCAAACACGGTCCACACATGGCTGGCTGGTCGGCCTGTCTGCGCATCGAATGTGCCAATCGGTCTGTCTCTGTCTGTCTGTCTGTGTACTGTTGATTTATTTCTTTTTCTCTCCCAGTATCTTGAGGAGCTGAATGAACAGGTTGACGACGTCCAGGTAGATAGCCAAGGCGGCGAAGGCGTAGTCGTCAACACCAAACTGATATCTGCGGTGCTTCCCACCCAGGATCATCTGCACACACACACACACCCCACCAACACACATCAACCGCCATACACACACCCACAGCCACCCACACGCTTGCCTGTGTGTCGAGGATGATGTAGCACGAGAAGATGAAGGCGCCCACGTAAGAGTACAACACGTGCAATATCGGCACCTGTCAATAAAGAACGACAGACAGACACATCAAGGCAATTGATGTCTCAGGAGGGTTGGTGGTGTTGTATGTGGCTGCGTGTGGTGTGGTTTGTTACGGTTGGCAGGAGTAGCAGAATGATGCCGAATACGACAAGTGAGACGCCAGCCGTAAAGAGGTACGGCACATAACCTGCACACACGTCGGTCGCTTGACACAGAAAGAGTTACGCCCATATAGCTGCCCACCCACCTGTGAAGTCCGTCTCGGTGAATACGGCCAGGGCGGTCAGCGCCGCCACGATGGCACACGTCATGGCCACCGCAATCAGCACCGAATCTGGTGACTCACCCGCCACACACGTGTCTGCACACACCCCTCCCCGCCACCCCCGGCTCACTCACCGATAGAGTATGCGGAGCAGATGAGGCCGACGAGCGTCCCCTCAATGACCGTCAACCTGCACACGTGCAGTGCCCCATGCAGGAAAGAAGCCGCTCTAGGTGTGTGTGGCGTACCCGGAAAGAGCGAGGTAGTTCCAGGGGAAGACACGCATCAACGAGGGGTCACTGGACACAGACCAGGAGAAACATACATGCCGCTCGGCTGTGGGGTGTGTGTGGATGTGTGGATGTGCGGTAGGTGGGCACCCTGCGTAGCAGACGGAAACTGCGATGCTGGCGAGGCACAGCACAAACACCACCCAATGGTTGGCAGCCACCGCACCTGACAGACAGTGAACGCATGCATCCATCACAATCACACACGTGTCCATCCATCCATCCATCCATCCATCCATTGCCCTCACTCTGCACTGCCTTCGACAGCACAAAGGGCATGGCCACCGCAACCGTCACCAGCAGCTGCACAGCGAAGATGCTGACACACCGTGCAAACAAAGGCAAACAGATCCTTGTCAGCCCTCCCCTCGCCAGTCGGCCAGATCTCCCATTCCTCCCTTTTGCCTGCGTACCCGTACACCTTCTTGACGAAGTCCTTGCGGATCTGAATGGTCGCGCTCTTGAGCAGGGGCGACTCGAGCGAGGAGGGCGAGGTGTCCCCCGTGGGCGGTTGGAACCACACGAACGGGCCGCCGTCCGCAGGAGGAGAGCTGGGCATCTGATTCTCGATGTCAGCCATCGTCAGAACCTTTTCGCAGCCGTCAGAAACGCGCTCAGGGTCAAGCCCTTTGTTTCTGGTTTTCAAGCCCTTTGTTTCTGGTTTTCCCGCCATCCGTAAACTCGATCGGGCTCTACGAACTCTCCGCGGAGCATGTCCATCGCTTCCCCCGGTTGACCGCAATATGCCCTATTTGGCCTTCACCAGCGGCAGAAGCGGCAGGACAGGGAGATGGATGCATCCGCTGTGGCTTCTCGCGGCTCTGGTCCTCCTCCTTTCCCAGCTGGTACAGGTAGGAGCCATCATCAGGCCGCTCCACTCCAACCCTCATCAGCACCAACAACAACAACAGCAGCAGCACCAGCAGTGTGCAGGGGACTGCTCCGGCCACGGCGTCTGCCAGTCTGCCGGTGGGTTTTGTCTGTGCGACAGAGAGTGGGGAGGGGCAGATTGCAGCACCTTCCTCCTCTCAAGCTCAGAGGTCAGGCACACAAAGGAGCATCTCCGTGTGTGTGTGTCTATGTGGATGTGGATATGTGTTGCTCTCATTTGTCCACTACCAGGGTGTGCGAGAGGTGATGTTCGGCCGACAGCAGAGCGGCCATCTGCAGGACCCATGTGGCCGGCAAGCCTATTCGTCGTCGGCGGTCGAGTGTTCCGGCCACGGCATATGTCGGCAAGGCGGCGGAATGGCGGCATGCGACTGCCATAAGGGATGGGCCGGCGTTTTGTGTGACCAGCCCATGGGATGCACGTCGGACTGCAGTCAACCCAACGGACAATGCCACAACGGTAGGTATCTACTGGATTGTGTGTGCCCTGCGTGCAGTGCACTGCCCGTACGTATCTGTGTTGTTCGTGTTGTTCAGGGGTGTGTATGTGTGTGGAGGGCTATGGAGGGGAGGACTGCTCATCAGCCGTCTGTCCAGACAACTGCTACAGCCACGGGGAGTGCGTCGAAGGCACCTGCCGCTGCCACAATGGATGGACAGGCGATAGATGCCATATCAAGGTGACTTTCTGATGGGCTGACACACACACTCTCTCCCTCTCTCGTGTGTCCTTTGTCTCGACACAGGAGTTGTCCGCCACTGCGTGCAGCCCTCCCTGCCGCAACGGTGCGCAATGCATCAACCACCGGTGCAGCTGCCCTGATGGGTTTGGGGGCGTCGACTGCTCGTTTATTCAGCATTCGGCACAGCAGGTGGAGAGGGCCTTGGACGCGCTCAGGGGTGAGGACGATGCAGAGGGTGATAACACGAACGACGATGCCGGCTCGGCAGCCAGATACATCACGGCCACTGCAGCAACAGACGGCCAGCCAGCCTCTCCCTTTATGCAGCTGCCGATGCGGAATACCATCGACGTCGACAACACTGAGTTGGCGTATCGGCTGGACGCCCTCATCAGGGCAGAGATGCAGAGGGAGAATGTGTCTCGAGATGCGGCAAAGGGAGCTGTGGTGGAGAAGCTTCGGCGCATCCTTTCGTCACGCGGTCACGGCCCCTCAGTGCTGAGCCGCATCACACACATGGACGAGATGACGCCTTTTCCCCTCACAGTCGGTCAAGGCTCACCCGATGATGAAGACGACATGCTGCAGAAGCTGCCCCTGCTCACGACCACCACCACCTTCCCTCTCGGTGTGTCGACCTATCCACCAGCCACAGCCGCACCCACACCTCTGCCAACAGCGACAGATGAGGAGGACGACTTCACGAGCGAGTGGCCGCCATACAGGTCATCGCCAGAGCTGCCGACGGTGAGGCCTGCCGATCCCGATGCCGGGCACATCTGCGACAGGGGATGTGTCCACGGCACGTGTGTCGAGTCGAATTGCGTCTGTGAGGAGGGCTGGAGCAAGGTGGACTGCTCCGAGAAACTGCCGGTGCAGAGGACGGACTGCCAGGACGACTGCAGCAACAGAGGCACATGCATCGATGTAGGCGGACACGCAGTATGAGACACCGTGTTGATGGTCCTTCTCTTGTCTGTTGGCTGTTCAGGGGCGATGTCGTTGCGACCATGGCTTCACGGGCGATATCTGTGAGCTCATCGCGTGCGCCCACGACTGCTCGGGCCACGGGGCGTGTATCGACGGCACGTGCATCTGCGACACGGCCTATGTGGGGGCAGGCTGTCAGACACCGAGATGCGACCGCTTCCCCTCCCTGCCCGAATGCGCCCGCCCACACACATCCAGTCCCCAGCCCGCAATCACGTCCCCCCGCCCACCAACCCCTGCTGATAGTGATATGCTCTCACGCGTAGCCCTCACATTCACACGGAGAAATGAGCGGCGATCGCTCGCGAAAGCGCAGCCAATGGACGCGCCGCCTCTTTTCGCATTCCACGAGGGCAAGAATCAGCCGTGTGCCGGCGAGCCGGACTGCAATGGCAAGGGAAGCTGTGAGGAGGGCGTCTGCAGCTGCTTCCCGGGCTACTCCGGCCATGCGTGTCAGATAAACTGCCCCAAGGCCTGCTCGGGAAACGGGCAGTGCACCATGGGGGCGTGTCTGTGTGTGGCGGGGTGGAGGGGGGCGGACTGCTCGGAGCGGCACTGCTGCAATGGCAGGGGCACGTGTGACGTGCCGGGCGAGCCATGCCAATGGTACACACATCCACTCATACGCCCACAGAACAACACAGCTCTGCTTCTCCGCTTCTGCTGCAGCGATCCTGGCTTCAGTGGGGCTGACTGTGAGGTCGACGTGCGGTCGGCTTGCCCCAACAGCTGCAGCGGCCATGGCACGTGTGACGGGCAGAAGTGCGTGTGCGGCGAGGGGTGGGCGGGGGCGGCGTGTGAGACACCTGTGACCAAGCCCCTCATCCAGTTACATGATGCTGGGTGCCGATGTGGCGGACACGGCAAGTGCATCAACAGCACGAGTACGTGTCTCTGCGACCCTGGGTGGACCGGTGAGACGCAGAGAGACACACAGTACACAGAGGTGGGTCATTGTCGGGTCAATGCAGGCGCCGACTGCAGGGTGGAGGAGCCGCCATGCCCCTCTGACTGCAATGGGCGGGGCATGTGTGACCCCCACACACACCAGTGTAGATGTAACAAAGGTGAATGGGAGACACAAACAAAGAGCCGGACACGCGACCTCAACTGGTCTGTGCGTGGTGTGTGCAGGTTTTGTTGGGGCCGCATGCGAAGGGCTGCTGCGCTGCCCTGAGGACTGTGGCGGCAACGGGCTGTGCCTGAATGGCGTCTGTGTGTGCCGTGACGGCTATGGCGGAGCAGGCTGTGTGGCTGATCATCGGCACAGAGAAGGAGAACGGAGGCACAGCAGCCATACGCCACTCCGTCGGCGGCACGTGGCTCTCTCAGTGGAGGATGTACAGCTGCCACTGGCCCATCCCGATAGCATGAGAAGAAGACCGGCCCATCATCAGCACGCAGAACTTGTGACGGAGGACGTAGAGGTGCCCGACGGAATACATGAACCGGAAATGTCTTCCGTCGCCGCCACTGCCTCGCCGCTCCGGAGAGTCGTCGACTTTCTCGCGTCGCTATTTCTGTGATCGCCGTGAATGCCCGTCTGTCTGTCTGTCTGTCTGTCAGTCTGGTGGTGTGAAGGCGACGGACGTCTCACGTTTGTATAGAGAACGGCGTGGGGGGCTGCAGGGGCGGTGTGGTCTTGTCCTGCTGCCTTACTCCTGCCTGCCTGCCTGCCTGCCCCGAACGTGTGTGTCCGTGTGTGTGCGTGTAAAGAGACCCCCTGTGTGCACTTTTTCCGATCCACGCGTGAGTGAGTGAGTGAATGTTGTGTGAATCACGTTTCTCACCTGTCGTCGACCAGTCACACGTGAATGTGTCCCGAACGTCCCTTCGACACATGCGTGTGGGCGTGTGGGCGCGTGCTGAGGGACAAGCTGCGACAAAATGATTCACACACACACACACATGACATGCACACCCAGCCATGCAAGTTGTTGCGTCAGTTGTCCGTCTGAAAGCAAAGCGAGATGCGATGCGATCCCCACCCGAGAAAAATCCCCCGAGACACACAATCAATCACGTTGGTGTGTGCATGTGTGTCATCTCATCCATCGTCCATCGAATCGACGAGAGAGGGCTCATCTTAGCTTTGCTGTGTCCCTCTCCTCTCGTCGGCCGCTCGAGAGACAGACGGCCATGCAATGAGTCCAGTGAGTCGAGGCGCAGAAGAGATAGAGACACGCAGAAAGCGGAGAGAGCGAGAGCGAGATGAAGGCAAACCATCGATACACACACACATACACACACCATTCCTTTTGGTCACCCATCAGCCAGAGTCAGCTCTACAGATAAATCGGGCGCCCTTCATTGGCAGAAGAGATGAGCAGCCTCGCTCATCGTCCATCTCTCATGATATCATCACACCAATGCCCAAAACCACAAGACCACACAGAGAGTCGGGCGAAAAAACAAAACAGCCGACCCGACCCTCATCGATCCCTTGGCTCGGTCGGTCGCTGGCTATGCGGTCTGGGCGACCTTTCCTTGCCTGCTCTTGATGACCTCCTGCGCCACGTTGGGCGGGACGGGCACGTACTTGGCCATCTCCATGGTGAAGGACGCCCGCCCCTGCGACAGCGACCGCAGCACCGTTGTGTAGCCAAACATCTCTGAAGGGAGGAGACACACGCACACACAGAAGTGCATCGATGTGTGTTGATGTGTCTGTGCGTATGTCCGTGCGTCTGATGGTGGCTGGCTAACTCACCGGCGAGCGGCACTTCTGCGGTGACTTGTTTGACGTTGCCCTCCAGGTCTTCCATCTGGCTGATCTGCCCCCGCCGGCTGTTCAGGTCGCCCATGACGTCGCCCATGTACTCGCCGGGAGTCGTCACATCAACCTGCACACACACACAGACAGGCGGACACAACACACACCTCACAAGAACCACCCCAGAGAGCCGCAGCAAACCACTCTCTGAGTGTGTGCGCACATCCCTTACCTTCATGATGGGCTCGAGCAGCTGCGGGGAGCCCTTCTTGGCGGCCTCCTTGAGAGCCATCGAGCCGGCGATCTTGAAGGCCATCTCGTTGCTGTCGACGTCGTGATAGCTGCCGTCGAAGAGAGTGATGCGCATGTCGACCAGGGGGTAGCCGGCGATGACGCCGTTCTGCATCTGCTCGGTGATGCCGCTCTCGACGGCAGGGATGTACTCCTTGGGCACCACACCCCCCACAATGGCGTTCTTGAACTCATAGCCAGAACCTGTGTGTGCAGGAAGGCACACAGCCATTGTTGTGTGGTGCACAAAGGAGCTGTGGATTGGCGTGTGGTGTGGGTGTACCTACCAGGCTCAAGAGGCTCGATCTCGATCCAGACATCACCATACATACCGCGGCCACCGGACTGCTTGACATACCTGCACACACACACAGAGAGAGAGGGAGAGATGCATCCGTGTGACCAACCCCATAGTCGAGCAAGCTCCCGTGCGTGGGTACCTGCCCTGAGCCTTCGACTGTTTGGAGAATGTTTCCCTATAGGCGACCTGTGGGGCGCCCGTGACACACTCGACCTTGAACTCACGCTTGAGCCTGTCGATGATGATCTCGAGATGCAGCTCGCCCATGCCGCTGATGATCGTCTGGCGAGACTCTTGGTCCTGACAAAAGAAGCGAAGCCAACGCAGGAGGAGTGCATTGCTGGTGTGGCTGTGGGCTTTGCTGCGTGTGGTGAGCGTACCGTGGTGACCCTGAACGAGGGGTCTTCTCGCGCGAGCTTGCCGAGGGCCGCTGACATCTTATCCTGATCCGCCTTGGTCTTGGCCTCGACAGCCAAACTGCACACACACACACACACACACAGCGCATTCACACATGTCTCCACTGGTGTGCACGTGTGTGGGCACCTGATGACGGGCTCTGGGAAGTCCATTTTCTCGAGCGTGACGACCTTCTTGGGCTCGCAGATGGTGTCGCCCGTGATGACGTCCTTGAGCCCGACAGCTGCGCCGATGTCGCCTGCCTTGAGCTCGTCGGTCTCCTTCCGCTGGTTCGAGTGCATCAGCACCAACCGCGACACGCGCTCCTGCTTCCTCGTCCGGGGGTTGTACACTGTGTCGCCTGCACACACACACACAGACACACACAGGCACACACAGGGAGGGAGGGAGGGTGGGGCGGGTGGTGTGTCTCCGCGGCCATGGGTTTCGGGCATGTGGCTACCTGGCTTGAGTGTGCCCGAGTAGAGGCGGATGAAGTTCAGGGTGCCGACAAACGGATCAGTGGCAATCTGACCATCACACACACAAAGTAGGTAAAGTAGGCAGTCCATCCATCCATCCATCCATGTATGTGTGTGTGTGGGCTCCGCTCCCCTCTCACCGACCTTGAATGCGAGAGCCGCCATCGGGCCACTCGGGTCGGCCTCTCTCTTCTCAGGCTCCTCATTCTGGTTGATGCCTGTGATGGCTGGCACCTCTGGCGGGGCAGGGAGGTACTCGATCACGGCGTCAAGCATCGCCTGGACGCCCTTGTTCTTGAAGGCGGAGCCGCAAAGGATGGGCACCAGCTGGTTCTTGAGCACCTGGGCGCGAAGGCCCTGCTTGATCTCGTCGTCCGTCAACTCGCCTGCACAGAAGAGGGCACTTTTGCATGCGGTCGGTGAATTCTGTGTGTGTGGTGCGCCCACCCTCTTCCAGGTACTTCTCCAGGAGCTCTTCTGACGCCTCGGCGGCCTTCTCGACCATCTCGGCACTTACGAACGAAAGAAGCAAGGGGCACACACACAGTCTGGTCGTTCTCGGCCCCTGTCTCTGCAGCATGCATGGGTGTGACGTGCTCCTTTCTTACCGATACTGCTCAGCCTTCTCTTTGAGGTCGGCGGGGATATCCTTGGCCTCGTAGGTCATGCCGCGGTTCTCCTCGTTCCAGTAGATGGCCTTCATCCTGCACACATACGCACACAAAGACGTGCATCAGTCAGTACACGGACCTGTGTTTGTGTAAGTCCATCTACGTACCTGATGAGGTCGACGACGCCGGCAAAGTCCGATCCAGCGCCGATGGGCAGCTGGATGGGCACGCCGTTGGAGCCAAGGCGGTTGCGGATCTGGTCGACGCACCGGTAGAAGTCGGCGCCGACACGGTCCATCTTGTTGACGAACGCCATACGGGGGACCTGCGCACACACACCATCACACGCACGCGTCGGCTGCCTGTCTACGTGAGTGTGGGCATTGCTCGCTCCGCCCACCCTGTATCTGTTTGCCTGCCTCCAGACGGTTTCGCTCTGCGGCTCGACGCCCGCGACGCTATCGAAGACGGCGACCGCGCCATCAAGCACCCGCAGTGACCGCTCGACCTCGATGGTGAAGTCGACGTGGCCCGGGGTGTCGATGATGTTGATGCGGTGGCGGGGGAACTGCTGATCCATACCTGCCATGCACACAGAAGGTCCACGCATGAGGGAGTGCGCATCGATCATGTGTCTGTCTGTCTGTGTTTCTGGCTGACCGTTCCAGAAGCATGTGGTGGCAGCGCTGGTGATGGTGATGCCACGCTCCCTCTCCTGGTCCATCCAGTCCATGGTGGCCTCACCTGCACACACACCCCAGCCACACGACAGACACCACAGATCCATCCATCCACCCATCCATTCTGTTCCTTTCTGTGCCGTGCTGTGCTCTGCCCTCCCCTACCATCATGGACCTCGCCGATCTTGTACGACACCCCCGTGTAGAGCAGCACCCTCTCAGTGGTGGTCGTCTTGCCCGCGTCGATGTGTGCCATGATACCGATGTTTCGGTATCGGTCCAGCGGGATGTCCTCGGTGTCTTTGTCTGCCTGCTGCATACGCAGCACCTGATGCTGCTGGCCTCTCGGCCGCAGGCGCTGGGGCGCATGGCTGGAAAGGTGGCCGGGGGAGGCTGGGAGCGGACTCAAGAATGCAGATCTTGGGGATCTGCGAAAGCTGGCGCCGAAGCAGCAGAGGGAGAGGGCAGAGAAGCACAGGAGGGAGAGGGCAGGCTGCATTGTCATCGTCAGTGATGCGGACGGAGAAATGCAGACAGGAAGATGCTGGCTCACGTCCAGCGATCGCTGCGGCCGCTTAGGGTGTTTCATGAAACCCTGCTGTGGGAGTAGGAATCTGCACTCTAAGCCCGCAGACGTTGCCGCCGCTCCTTGCTTCTTCCTGCGTAGCTGGCCATGTGGGTGTCCCGGTCTCTCTTTGCCCTCCCCTTGTTGTGGTCTCACTCATGCGCTCGGATTCCGCATCCACCGTCCCTCCGCAACCAGAGGCCTCAACACGCATCTCGCAGACTGCAGGTGCAGTGCAGAGACCTCTTACTTAGGAAGGCAGTGCAGTGCAGTGCATGTGTGTGTGTGTGTGTGTGTGTGTGCATGGGAATGCATGGCGTGTGTGGGATCGGTGCGGTGCATGCAGGTGTCGGAGGGCATGGAGATCTCTAACGACACCGCCAGGGCGGGGCTCGACTACAGCAACGACTTCAGGCACCTTAAGCTGACAGTGCAGGACATCGACGCAAACATAGCAACACAGGTACACTCCACTCCTCTGCACTTAACTTTCTCGCAGAAAGATCCGATGGGTGGGTGCAGTGCATGGCCCCTGTCTGTCTGTCTGTCTGTCTGTCTGTCTGTCTGTCTGTCTGTGTGTGCGGATGTGTGTGCACAGGTGCCCCCTCGTTGCCGGTGGTGGAGGCCACCATAGCGTCGGTCCACGAGGCCATGTTCGCCGGCGACCTCACATGCTCGGATCTTATTCAGGCCTACACACAAGTACGCTACGCAAGCCAGAGGGAGGGAGGGAGGGAGGGAGGGAGGGAGGCGTCACATCAACACAGGCACCGCACCCGAGGATGGGCGTATGTATCCGCCTGTGTGCGTTGTGTGCAGCGAATTGAGGCCTACGACCAGGCGACGGGCATGAATGCCATCCAGGAGGTCATGCCCGACGCCCTCGACATCGCAGCTCAGAAAGACCGACCGTAAGACACATACCATGCCATGGGAGCGAGCTGGGCGTAGGTAGTGGTTGCAGCGCCTTGCCTTGCCTTGCCTTGCCTTGCCTTGTGTGTCTGCGGGTTTATTGTGTGGCTGACGGCGTCCCTTGACAGCGGCAACCTGACCGATCTCCCATCCCTTTTCTGTGGCCCGTGCTGGCGAAGGTGGGGACGACTGGGTGACATTCACATCACGCACACAGGGGATTTCGTTTGTGCCTTTGGAGTGAGTGGAATCCGATTGTCCTCGTCGTGTGTGTGCAGGCCAACTATGACACGGTGGGTGTGGCGACCACAAACGGAGCTGCTGGTAAGAATGGATCGATGGATGGATGGATGGATGGATGAGCAAGATCCGTCCAGTGTATTCTCCCGGGTCTTGCTTGGCTGCAGCGCTTGTCGACAACTTTCCCCCCGACGACGCACAACAGATCAGAGCACTCAAAGATGCAGGTAGGTAAGCACGACACTACCAACACAAGGAAGGAAGGTGTCCCGTTCGCCCACACAGGGATGCTTCCCTCCCCCCCCTGCTGGCTGTTCGTTCCATGGTCCAAACCAAACAGGGGGCATCATTCTGGCCAAGACCAACATGGCGGAGTGGGCGTATTCCGGCACTATCAGCATCGGCAGCGCCCACGGCGTCGTGAGAAACGCCTACGACCTGCAGAGGACCACCGCAGGATCCAGTGGCGGCACTGCATCGGCCGTCGCGGCATCACTCGGGTGCGTGTGTGCGTGTGTGGGTGGGTGCCTTCACAACTACACCCACACAGACACACTCTCTCTCATTATGTGCTGTGTTCCGTGCTGTTGGTTGTCGATCAGGCTGGTGGGTCTTGGCACTCAGACGGGCAACTCCATCTCAGGTCCATCAGGTTTCCTTGGACTGGTGGGTGTGCGGTCGACAATCGGCTTGACGAGCCGAGACGGCATAGTGCCGCTGTACCTCAGCAAGGACATCGGGGGGCCCATGTGTCGGACAGTCGAGGACGCCGCCAAGACCTTCACGCCCTTGGTGGGGTATGACCCCAATGACCCCATTACAGAACTGTCAAAGGTCGGCGGAGGGAGGGAGAGGGAGACACATGATGGGAGGGGGGCCGGGGCACATCTATCTGTGTGGGTCTGTCTGGGTGGCCATGAAGGAAGTGGACTTGCCTGACGATTATACGGTCTTTATGGAAGGCGCCGATGGGCTTCAAGTAACCAACCACAGACTCGCCCAGACAGCGCGCCCTACCCTCGTGTGTGTGTGTGTGTGTGTATGCTGAATAAGGTGTGCGTATCGGGGTGATGCAGTCGATGGCCGACGAGGTGCCCACAGCCCACCCAGACGTCATCAGCCTCTTCAACCAAGCCATCAAGTACACAGCACATTGGCCACACCGCACACCCACACAACGGCCGGCCGTGTCCGTGCTGTCTGTGTTGCCTTCCTTCCACTCCACCAGCGACCTCGAGGCAGCTGGTGCGGTGATTGTGGAAGATTTCAATATCACGGGCAACACGCTGGGTGAGGACTGGACGGGGTATGTCCAGGACATCGGCCCCACCGTCGGCCACTGGAATGTCAACGGCATCTGGGTCTCTCTCTGGTACCTAGGCTTCGCTTGCACGATGTCACACACACTCCACCAGAATGCGGGATGTCGGCATGTGATGTGTCTGTGGTCTGTACCAGGTCGCAGCCAAATGGGTTCGAGCGGGAGAAGCAGATCGACGCCTATCTCGCTGCTTCAGGTGGGTGTGCAGACGCCACCTCATGAATGAGCACCTACATGCCCCCCCCCCTCCCCCCTCCCCCATGTGGTGCAGGGAGCCGGTTCAAGAGTGCTCGAGAGATCTACGCGTCTGGCCTATTCCACCCCTTTGCCCGAAGTGGGATGGAGAGTCAGCTGGCCGAGCAGAACCTCACTGACCTCGAGAGCTTCTGCGGCGAGGGGGCGGAGACTTTCCTTGAGAATCCCTGCAGGTAGGTGACACATACCTACCACCCACCCTCCCTTACTCCCACCCCCACCCCCACAGATACACACACACATGTCTGTCACACACACGCTGGTCTCTCTCTCATTTATTTCAGGATGGAGTTCCGGAGGAATCTGGCAGACTCGATGGACGCGGCCAATGTGAGTGTGATTGTGTACCCGTCTTGGCGGAACGAGCCCTACCTCATCGGCAACCACATGCCCTACGCCAACACGAACTGCGCACATATCAGGGTACACGACAGACACCTAGAGGGGAGGGCATACCAACCACGACACACAGAGCATCACTCTCCCTACTGTCTTGTCTGTCCTCCCTGCAGCCCCAGACGGGCGCGCCGAGCATCACGGTGCCGATGGGGTTCATCCAGCTGACGGCAGGCCCGCCCACCAGGCTGCCCATGAACATCGAGATGATTGCACGTTCATTCGACGAGCCATCGCTATTCAAAGTCAGCCACTCAGACGGACAGAGGGGGGCACTGTGCTGTGTGTGGATGTCGCTCCACTCTCTCTCTCCCTGTGTGTGTGGCTGGTGTGGTGTAGGTTGCCCATGGGTATGAGGCCGTGACGAAGCACCGCTTTGCGCCTCCGCTGTTCATCGAGTGTGCTTAGCTTAGATTGGCACATAGCATATAGATAGACAGCTGGGAGAGGATAGATGGCTTTTTGCAGGCTACTTGGTGTGCAGTAGTTAGTAGGGTTCTCTGCAACTGTCTGTGTCTGTGTGCATGGTGTGTGTGTATATGGTGTGTGTGGTGTGTGTGGTGTCGGTAGCCGTGATGTTCGTGGGCGCTTATCTCCTGGCTGGGAGGAGGTCACCAGCGACACTGACTGTGGCCGGCCGACTTTTACGAGAACGGCATGACTCAGTCAATGTTCTGTGGCCGGCGTGTTTCTCTCTTGCCTGTCTGTCTACATGCCCGTGTTGGTATCGGTCTGTGCATTCATCCGCGTGTGTGGTGTTGGTATTTGGTGGTGGTATTAGGTAGGTAGGCTGGATGGTAGGCAGGCAGGCAGGCAGCCAGGCAGGCAGCGAAGCGACTGAGGGAGCACCAGAGGGGTGACTGAGGGACACACGTGACGTGTGTCGTGTGGGCGAGTAGGTGGGAGGGAGGGAGGGTGGCTGGACGCAGCAGGTAGCAGACATTCTGGGCGTCATTTGATTCATGGGTTGTGAGAGTAGAGCGGCCTCATGAACGGGTGGGCGGGATGTGTGTGTGCATGTTATGTGTGCGTGTGTGTGTGTGGATAGGCCATTGCAATCGTGTGGGGATACATGTATGTCATGTGCCTGCCTGCCGGTCTGCCTTTTTCAGGCCGTCTGCGGTCACCACGCTGTGCTGTTTTTGCTCCACGTCTTGTACGTGTGTGTGTGTGTGTGTGCGTGTGTGGTGTGCATAGCCATGGGTGTGATTGATCGATCGGGGCGTTGCGTGTGTGTGTGTGTTCGACGGGCAAGAATCGCACATCGTACGGTACGTCGTCTGTAATTGTTCTTCCGCTGCCTGCCTTCACTCACTGCCCGCCCCGACCGACACTTTCGTGTGTGAGCTGAGCGTGACAGGTAGGTAGCAACAGACAGAGAGGCCGGCAGCAAGACAATAGCATAAGAGCGAGTCAAGGAGAGAGAGAGTCTGCCATGGCATGCCAGGCTGTCGTGTGCGCATCTTTGTCCGTCTGACAAGGCTGAATCCGCACTCACTCGACACAGTGAGGGCACACGATGCCCACAAGGCATTCATCGTCTCTCGCTGTTTTGTGAGGGCATTCATTCGGGACCTGAGACGTCCCCTCTTCACTGATGTGATCCTCTCAGTTTTGACCGACCATCACAGCAGAGAGTCTGTCATGAGAGGGTGTCTTCCAGGTCTCTCGCTTCCACCAGCTCCTTGTACTTGTCTCCCTTCTCACGTATCTCATCCACAGACATGCCCTGCAGCTCCCTTGTGATGTCAGCCACCTTAGCGCTCTTCTTAAGCGGACACGTCTCCACAGAAGGCGCCTCATACGTCTTGCTCGGCCTGTCGGCCTGCGCCGGATCTTCCTCCACTTGCAGAACATAAGTGCCGTTCGCTTCAAGCCCCTCAAACCAGTCTGACTCACCGTCTTGTGATTTTTCTACTTGTTGGCCCTGTCCGTCTTCCATCGTGATAGCAGCGTTCTCGCCAAAGGCCAGTCTGATGCCGAACTCCTCGTCCAGCCTTGACATCGCCAGCCGCCCTCGCTCGACGTCGAATGGCTTGGTGTAGTGGAGGAACTTGACAGTCACAGCGCCCTTCTCCGGTGGGGCCGACTCGGACGCATCACAAGACTGTGCAGGCGGGCCAGGGGACTCACTTACAGCGGTAGGCTGCGGCTCCTCCGCTACTTGTGGTGGTTTCTTCTTGCGTGTTGGGGCCGATGGTTGCTGGCCTTTGGTGGCTGCTTTCGCTTTGCCTTTAGATTGCTGTGCCTTCGGCCGGCCTGCTGCCTTGCCTGAGATGGACAAGGCCATCCGAAAAGCCACTCTGAGTCAGGCCTCCGACGATCGCGCCCCCGTCTCGTCGATCGAGAAGCGTGCCTCCTTTCCCAAATCGCGCTCTCGAAAAATAAAGAACGCTGCAATCGCTGCACGGAGATCAGATTCGTCATTATCGCTACCATCGGAGGATGGCGATGCACCGGGTGGATCACCCAATAAGGGATCACCGTAGCACCATCGCCACTCTTCCCACCATCGTCGCCACCATCGTCGCCAGTGAGGGAGGTGGTCTACAGCTGTGAAGGCCAAGGGACTCTCCCTCCCCAGGTAAGCGACGCCGAATGAATGAGCGAAAGGAGGACACGGCGAAATTGAGTCACG